GGTGGGGCGCGCGCCGGGGGGCGGGGTGCGGGGTGCAGAGCTGAGTTCTGAGAACCCCAGGCAGTGTGGAGCGGGCCCAGGCCGCCTCCCAAGGGGAGCCGCTGGGGGGCATTTGACTGATGTGATGGCCCACGACTAGGGATGATTGTCGACTGGAAGAACCCTCCGAGGAGAGGTGGTCATTAATTTGTCACATCCCACGCGAGCCATCTTGACACGAGTACGGTTATTCAAGGAAACGACGACGTTTTGGAGAGGTGTCCTGCATGAGTCCATATCCGGAAAGCAGCGCCAGGGCCGCTGTCTGTCTGCCCTTCCAGCCCCAGGTCCATCCCTCCCTTCCCACCTCTTTCCACGAGCTCTTTTTGCCCAAGACACAGACAGGAGTTGGGAACCCCAGCCAAAGAAGTTGCCATCACAAATTGTTCTAGCCGGTGGTCCTTGTCCCAGAAGGTGCGGGAGGGGGAAACTGAGGAAGGAAAACCCCCAGGAGAAAGAATGCCAACCTTGGTCTGTGTCTTTGTTCACAGTCAAATTCTCTTGCCAGGGGACATCTCTGGGATTCTTCGCCCACCCTGAACGTTCACTTCCTGAACCCCACCTCCGGAGGGGTGCTCCTCTGAGACCCAGCCGGGGCGGTCCTGGGGCCATTGCTCTTCCCGTGGTCCCCTTAGGGTGCGGGTGTCATCTCTTCCTTGGAGATTCCACTCCCTTTGCACACACACACCCCGGCGGTGCACACTAACACTTGAACCCCCTACTGCTTCAGCACTGGTAAGTACCTCACCAAGAGGGGAACAAAAATTGCTCCTTTCTGAGACACAAAGAAAGAAATTGAAAATGTTCAACTTCTCCAAGATGATTGGAATGCAAATGGCCAAATGACAAGATGTGGGTAATTTGGAAGGGACAGCGATAAGCTGATCTTGTGTAGGAGTCACCTAGGCTGCTCCAGGCGAGGGGGCTGTGCAATAGTTTCCCACGATTAGAATTAAAACAGTGATTCAATGGAAAATGACGCACAATTCCAGTGTTTTGGACCCAAGTAAGTATCGGTGTTTGTTAAGCCCTTACCTTCATGATACCGAGAAGGAAGAAATATTTGACAAAACCCTCACTGAACTGGTTGGTGTAAGACAGCTCTTGCTCTTCCAATTCTAATGCATGTGGCTGTTGAGGTGCGTGGAATTTTCTACACAATACAATACAGCTCTAGGTCTGTTATGGCTTCTCCATTAATTTCATCTGCAGTTCTGACAACAGTAAAGTTTGACTATTGCTAAAAGAGATGTTGTTACAAAATAATGAAAACTACTGCTAATACATTCCATGCATTGTCTATATATTTATTGTTAGTGAAGTAGCTAACATCTTAATGTAGTGATGAGATGTACATGATTGACTTTTCCTTTTTATTAACTCCTCAATATTCCAATATTTTATCAAACATTTGTTAAGAAACAATTCACTTGCAAATGGTGTTCTTGAAAATCATCTGCAATAATCAAATAATCAGAGATCGAACTTAATACTGATGAAATAATTTTTATCAGCCACTTGTAAGTGTATCCTAACAGAAGAAGTCAATATGAAATAGGTTAACATTTTTGAAATTTTACATTTAAACTGAACAGGTCATCTCACAATTGTGAAGAATTAATACACTCAGCTAGCCAAACATCAGCTTCAAGTGAGCATTCATTTTCATAGCACTTCCTAATTCAATTAATTTTAGCCAGTATTTTTTGATATGCAATGCCTAGGTTGTTTTTATACTTTTTGATGACAGATACTAAGGTCTAGTTAATCAAACTGTTAATTTAACAGATAGATTAATTTTAAGATGAACAGAGTCTTAATCTTAAAACTCTTCTAAGCAAACTGAAGAGTCTTCAGTTTAGACATTGCTCTAGAATTAATGAAGAGAGGCAAAGAACTAAATTGTATTTATTTTTTAATTTACTTTTATTGTCAAGGTGATGTACAGAGTGGTTACATTTGTCGAAATTGTACCCCCTCCCTCATTTTTCTCCCACTTTTCCTCTGCCCACCTCCTCAAGTTGAACAGATCATTTCCAACATATTGTCTTGTAAGTATCGCTGTTGTATTGTTTGCCCTTTGTCCTTTGTCTCAACTAAATTGTACTTTATTTTTTTAGATTTAA